CCTCCTCCTCCTCCTCCTCCTCCTCCTCCTCCTCCTCCTCCTCCTCCTCCTCCTCCTCCCCCTCTTGCTCATCATCCTCCTCCTGATCATCATCATCATCATCATCATCATCATCATCATCATCATCATCATCAGCAGCAGCATCATCATCATCATCATCATCATCATCATCATCATCATCAGCAGCCATCAGCAGCCATCAGCAGCCATCAGCAGCCATCATCATCAGCATCATCATCATCAGCAGCATCAGCATCAGCATCATTATCACAATCAGCATCAGCAGCAGCAGCATCATCATCATCATCATCATCATCATCATCATCAGCATCATCAGCATCATCAGCATCATCATCATCATCCGTCGTCAGCATCATCATCCTCATCCTCATCCTCATCCTCATCATCACCATCAGCAGCATCATCATCATCATCAGCATCATCATCATCAGCATCAGCGGCATCAGCATCAGCATCAGCATCAGCATCATCATCATCAGCATCATCATCATCATAATCAGCATCATCAGCAGCAGCATCATCATCGTCGTCATCATCATCATCATCACCATCAGCATCATCATCAGCATCATCAGCATCATCACTTGTAGCATCGGCATAATCATCACCATCGACATCATCATCATCATCATCATCATCATCATCATCATCATCATCATCATCATCATCATCATCATCATCATCATCGTCGTTATCATCAGCATCAGCAACAGCAAAAGCATCAGCATCATCAGCATCATCAGTATCAGTATCAACAGCATCATCATCGTCAACAGCAGCATCATCATTATCATAATCATAATCAGCATCATCATAAGCATAATGAGCATCGTCATCAGCATCATCATCGTCATCGTCATCATCATCAGCACCATCATAGTCATCAGCAGCATCATCATGGTCATCAGCATCAGCATCAGCATCATCATCATCATCAACATCAAAATCAACGGAATCATCGTCAGCACCAGCATCATCTCCGTTATCATCATCCGCATCATCATCATCATCATAATCAGCATCATCATCGTCATCGTCATCTTCATCAGCACCAGCATCAGCATAATCAGCATCATCAGCAGCATTACCATCAGCATCGTCATCAGCAGCATCAGCAGCATTAGCATCATCATCAGCAGCAGCATCAGCATCATCAGCAGCATCATAATCGACATCAGCATCATCAGCATCACCATCATCGTCATATTCATCAACATCAGCATGAGCATCATAATCCTCATCATCGCCCTCATCCTCCTCCACATCCTCTGCATCATCACCATCACCAGCAGCATCATCATCAGCAGCAGCATCATCAGCATCATCAGCACCATCATCATCATCCTCCTCCTCATCAGCATCACCATCATCAACATCACCATCATCATCAGCATCATCATCAGTATCAGCATCATCATCAGCATCATCATCAACACCATCACCATCATCGTCAGTAACATCACCACCACCATCACCATCATCACCAGCATCCCCCTCCTCCTCCTCCTCTTCCTCTTCCTCCTTCTCCTCCTCCACCTCCTCCTCCTCCTCCCGTCTCCTCCTGTCTCCTCCTTCTCCTCCTGTCGCCTCCCGTCTCCTCCTCCTCCTTCTCCCGTCTCCTCCTCCCGTCTCCTCCCCCTCATCCTCCTCCTCCTCATGCTCCTCCTCCTCATCCTCCTTTCCTCCTCCTCCTTTCCTCCTCATCCTCCTCCTGATCCTCCTCAGCCCCCTCATCCTGCTCCTCTTCTCCTCCTCCGCCTCCTCCTCCTCCTCTCTGATCCTCCCCCCTCCTCCTCCTCCTCCTCCTCCCCCTCCTCCTCCTGATCCTCTCCTCCTCCTCCGCATCCTCCTTCTCCTTATCCTCCTCCTCCTCCTCCTCCTCCTCCTCCTCCTCCTCCCCCTCCTCCTCTTCCTCATCTCTCTCTGAGCTGAACTGCCCATTGCTCTGCTACGTTCTGATGGTCGCCCTATCCCAAAAGATGGGTGAATGGACCCGTTGTATCCTTCTCCTCCTCATCCTCCTCCTCCTCTTCCTCCTCCTCGTCCGCCTCCTCCTCCTCATCATCGTTATCCTCCTCCTCCTCCTCATCCACCTCCTCCTTCCCCTCCTTCTCATCCGCCTCCTCCTTCGTCTCCTCCTCCTGCTATTGCGCCTGGTCCTGATCCTGCTCCTGCTCATGCTGTTCCCTCCTCCTCCTCCGGCTCATCCTCCTCCTCATCCTCATCCTGGCGGTTGTTTACGCGCCCTTAAACTAGCGGGGATTCAGAACCAGAACTCAGGCTCCACACATCCGCGGATGTGTGCCGTTTGTCTTCGGCGAACCAATTCTACGCATCACAACACGTGACTTCTACACACCACACGGAAATGTGTAGAAGCAAAGCGGAGATATTACACCTGAAGCAGAAATCTGTAGAAGGGCAAGACGGACTGATGCCGCTACAGGTCACACAGCAAAAATTAGAACTGTGACCCCCAAAAAGTATACATCCACAAATCCCGGAATCTGCAGAAACATCGTCCTCCCCAGTGGTCGGTGTTCCAAACGGAAGCATCATCATCAGCAGCAGCAGCAGCATCATCAGCATCATTATCATCATCAGCAGCATCACCATGAGCATCATCCTCCTCTTCCTTCTACTCCTCGTCGTCGTCCTCCTCGTCGTGTAAGTTGAATTGCACAATGCTGCGCTACTTGCTGATGGCCGTCCCATTCCTAAAGAAAGGTTATAGGGACCTGGCTTATCCTCCTCCTCCTCCTCCTCTTCCTCCTCCTCCTCCTCATCATCATCATCCTTTTCCTCCTCTTCTTCATCCTTCTCCTCCTCCTCCTCCTCCGCATCCCTCCTCATCTTCCTCCTCCTCATGCTCCTGCTATTGGTCCTGATCTTGCTCCTGCTGCTGCTGCTGTTGCTGCTGCTGCTGCTCCTTCCTCCTCCTCATCCTCCTACTCCTGGTAGTCCTCCTCCTCCTCCTCCTCCTCTTCCTCCTCATCCTCATCCTCATCCTCTTCCTCTTAGATGAACTGCCCAATGCTACGCTACTTTCCGATGGTCGTCCCATCCCTAAAGATGGATTTAGGCACCCGTGTGTTATCCTCCTTTTCCTCCTCCTCCTCTTCATCCTCCTCCTCCTCCTCCTCCCCCTTGTCCTCCTCTTCCTCCTCCTCCTCCTCCTGCGCCTGGTCTGGGTCCTGATCTTACTCCTGCTGCTGCTGCTCCCTCTTCATCCTCCTCATCCTCCTCCTACTCCTCGTCGTCCCCACCTTCTTCCTCTAAGGTGAAGTATCCGATGCTCCGCTATTTTCTGTTGGTCATCCCATCCCTAAAGATTGGTGTACGGGACCCTGTGTTATCCTCCTCCTCCTCATCATCATCATCCTCCTCCTCCTCCTCCTCCTCCTCCTCCTCCTCCTCCTCCCCCCCCTTTCTCCTCCTTCACCCTCCTTCTCCTCGTCATCATCACCCGCACCAACAACAACACTCATCGTAAGAGTGCTCGAGCTTATCTGCTCGCGGGCCACTCACCACATAACCCGAACCCTCGATACCCGCCGTGTTCGTCATCGATCGTACCCCTTGGGGGTTTATATCTTTCTTACCTGCAACGCGTATGTCGTGCAGCCCCTAAGGCAGAGAAGAGAGAACGGATGGAAGGAAGGAACAAGGGGGAAGGAGGAGGAGGGAGCACGAGGAGAGTAGCAGGAGGGGGGCAAGGAGCAGAAACAACGTGGCAGAACCAGACAGGCAGATCGGGCGGGTAGACCCTAACGGGCGGGTCGGGAGGGCGGGCCCAAGTGGCCAGGTCCTAGGCATTCCTCGACATTGGTGATCCCGAAGCTTGAAGTGTGCAACAGCTTCACGGATATAAGGCGGGTGGTTTTCAAAATGTCGCTCTCACACTAGCGCCACACACCTTAATCGTAATGAAAGGGTCACGTTGATTTCAAGATGTGGCTCTCGCCTTGCGCCGCGCACATTCGTCTTAAAAGCCTGCAACAGCTTGACACCAGCATGAAGGATTCGAATTCCAAAGAATGGTGTTCTGGCACGGTCTGTGATTGTCAGCTCGCAACCTGCACATTGACTCGCGGCGCTGAAGTCCCAGGAATCAGGTTGTCGCACGAATTCTCGGACGGTTGTCTTCTAATGGGCCACTTCCCGTAATGACAATCCATTCTGTTTTCGGAATTTGGCTCTCGCCTTCGCGCCGCGCACATTCGTCAGAAAAGCTTGCAACAGCGTCAAGGATGCAGGGCGGGTCGTTTTCAAAATAAGGTTCTCCCCTCAGCTCCGCGCACATTCTTCTTCAAATTTCGGAACAGCTTCAAGGATTGAGGGCGGACCTTAGCAACGCGCACGTTATCCTGAAAAGTTTGCAGGGACGGAGGGCGGGTTCTTTTCAAAATGTGTCTATCGCCTTAGCGCCGCGCGCATTCGTCCTTAGAGTCTGCAACAGCTTGAAGAATTCGAATTCCAATGAATGGTGTTCTGGGACCATTTGGGGTTATCGCCCCACACAGCCAAGTTGGCTCGCGGCATTGAAGTCCCAGGAACGGCTTCCTGGCACGAGTTAGGATTGCACAGACGCAACAGTCACGTTGATCCGCGGCGTTCAAGTCCAAGGAATGTTGCTTTCGCACGAGTGAGAATTCTCAGACGGTTGTCTGGGAAACGGCCAGAATGAACATAAACTCATGTTGGGACAGATGAAGAGAAAATGGAGGGAGGATTGCGACATGATTGATGCGTCTTGGGTTTGCATTGGTCGTCCTTCTCCTCCTCCTCGTCGTCCTCCTCTTTCCCCTCCTCTTCCTTTTCCTTCACCGCCGCCTCCTCTTTCGCCTCGTCCTCCTCCTTCTGGTATCCCTTCGCCGCCTCCTCCTCCTCCTCCTCTGCCTCTTCCTTCTCCTTACCAATCCCCTGCCGAGGCACGCCGCCCTCGGCCGGTTCTCTCTCCCCAGTCTCGCAATCGCGACATGGCGACTGCTCCGGCCCCCGGTGCTGGCAACGGCCACGTCAAGCCCCTGACGGAGCTTCCGGTGGCGCAGGCAGCCTTCGGTGCAGCCCACGCGTGCCTCGGGGCAGGCCTCTCGGCCAAGGTCACGAGCACGGTGGTGGCAGCGACGGCGGCGCGGGGCGTTGCAGGGCGCGAGTGTGGGCGAGGGTGCTGAATGCAGCGCTGTGCTCGCAGTCGAGGCCCTCGACGGAACGCAGGACATCCTGTCCGATCTGGACGTCCCAGGGGCCTCCGAGGCGAAGGCACTCCTCCGTGAAGTTGGCCGCGCAGACCTCGCCAACCGCCTGGGCAAGTACTCAAAGGTGCGCAATGGGGTCGCCCAGCGAAACGTCCGCCTGCAAAGCGACATCGAGGCAACGATGAAGGACACGAACCTCGCCGAGCAGGAAATGAAGCTCAGCGAGATGTGGAGGCCAGTAAGGAGGGGACAACCACCAAGGGGAAGGATGTGCAGAAGCAACTGAGGGACTCGGAGCTCCAGGTATTGAGGCAGACGGCGAAGCTCCAGGAGGTCAAGATTCAGAAGCACGAGCAGGAGATCGCGGCCCTGGCGGAGCTGACGGAGAAGGGGCGGCTCCAGGGGGCTCAGATCCAGAAGTACCAGCAGGAGTTCACCACCGAGCGGGACGAGACGGACTCGTTCAAGCTCACGGTCAAGGAGTACGAGAAGGAGATCGTGGCCTTGGAGGAGCTGAAGGAGGTGGCGCGGTCCCAGGAGGACAATATCCAAAAGTACCAGCACGAGGTCAAGGCACTTGGCATCGTAATCGACCTGGCCATGCAGGCATCATCGGAGTGCAAGGACATGCTGGGCCTTGCGCTGGAGCTTATTCAGCGGTGTTCCTTCGGGCACACTGTGAGGCATGTGCCGTTGGAGGCGGGACAGACCCTCGACCCCAGAGGGCGCGGTCCCGAGGGAGCCCGTGGAGGGCAGACCTCGAAGACAGGGGGGCACTGGAGGCACAACTGATAGCACCTCCCCATCATATGTTGTTGTCGCTGGGATCATCTTCTTGGTGGCTGGTCGGCGCCGACGTCCTGCACTGCCAGTCCTTCTCCATCGTTCCTCTGCGGAGGGCGCGAGGGCCTCTGAGGCGGTCGCGTTGGGGCCCCGCGACCGCGCGCGGCGGCTCGCCTGAGGCAGGACCCACGGTTCGCCAAGCTGTCTCTCCTTCTTCTTTCCTGGCCCCCTGTCGCCACCGCCGCCTCACCGTCGTCTTCTCCTCGGCAAAGAGATGCCCACCAGCGCAGAGTGAGTTGGAGCGTGCGGCCTCCCGGCGCGCACGAAGCCGCACGCGAAGGCCCCTGCCCAGGGGCCCCATGGGAGCCCCACGAGAGCTGCAGACACACAGCACTGTGCCATGTGCATGAAGCACAGATCCAAAGGGCAAGGGGCAATGCTATGGAGGGACCGGCTCCGTCGACATTGGATCGGCGATACGTCACCGATAGCTCGGCGATTGGCCCCTGATAGCGAATCAGAGGCAGGAAACACCAAATCTGATGGCCAAAGCTGTGGGGAGGCTAGCTCGATGGGGAAATATCAACCTGAAATCGGCGATACACCGCAAATCCATCGGCGATGGGCCCCCGATGGTGAATCCGCGCGATCCTGGGCCAGGTGGGCTATCGGGCCCCTATCGACGATCAGTGATCGATTTGGGTTCGACGTATCCCCCCCCCCTTGAGCTTGTCCCCCCTATACCCATCGGTCGGAAGAAATAAGTGGAAACATGAAGTAGGACGGACGGACGGACGCCGGCGCATCGGCTCCGCGAGGGAGCGGCCGGGGGAGCCTAAGCCCCGAATCTCAGATGAAGTTTTACACGAAAGTTTGTGGTCACGATCCCGGCTCGCTGTTGTACTGGCGGTACCTCTCCTTAGCCTCGTCGATTATATTGTCCAAGCGTGCTAACGTTTTCTCGGCATACTGCTTGAACCAT